AACCACTGATGATTGATAGAATGGTCATCGAATATATATTATATTTATTCTAGGGCTTTTATTGGAGTTACTATGAGTGGACCCATTATCCCTCAAGAGAAGATCCGTAGCTTTGGCACTGAGACGTATAATTGAAAAGCAAACGTATTGTTGCATAAGGAAATTATGGATATTCAAAAGTCTTATGAAATTCATAAGGTGGTAAAGATGGTGGACAATGGCACCAATTTTGTTAAGGCCTTTAAGTAATATTTATATATTAAAATAGAGTTTTGAAGTAAATGAAGAAGATGGGGAGAATTTGGAATTAATAAATTTCGATGGCAAATTATCTGTTAATGACTCCAAATAATCCAACAATTAGCTTATCAAAACATCAACATTGTTGTTATGATCTGAACCTTATTTCAACTATACTGAGAAAGAAGAAAATGATATCAATTCTAAGTGAATATCAAGATCCATTTGCTAAAGATATTTCATTGGAGAAATTGGGAAGATATCTTACAGCTACCAACAAGCCAATAGAACTCCTACTTCCAGTCAATGAAATTAATGGACAATGTGCTCTCTGAAAAGTTTTCAGAAGTAAAGTTTGTGATCAAATTGGATTCACAATGTTTAGGCAAGAGGAATGTTTCTTTATCAAAGAATATCCTCAGTAATACAATGATATTTTTATTTAATAAATAAAATATAAATATTATGGTTAAAGAATTCTTTGCAACATCATTTAAAATCTTAAAAATAAGAGAGTGATATGGACAAAATAAATTTACGAAATTAAGCTATCTGCCATATTACTAGCCCCTTTTAGAGTGTGTTCTTAGAGGTGTTGATAAAAGGTAATAGATTTTTATGTAATTATTTTATATTGAGAGATATCAAAGATCTGCAAAATTTATTTAAAAAATGTAATGAAAACGACCAGGCCTACTAACTGATATCTGATAAAATTTTAATGAGACAGCATAGGCATAAAAAGTACAATAAATTTTTTGAATTTTAAGTTAATATTTTGATTAATATTCTTTGAAAACAAAATATAATATGCTTATTTATTTGAATATTAAGTCTAAATATAATATTAAATTTAATCAATATTTATGATATGACCCAAATATAAATACCATACAGATAATGAGTCAGGCCTAACTATTAAATTTGATAGGGTTGAGTTTTACTGATGTCTGATTTATATGAATGAACACTTATTTAATGATAAATATATCATCAATTCTATATATAGATTCTCTTCACTGCATGATGACAATAACATATAGGCAGTAATAGTTCACCCAAAATTTAAACTAAATGCCTTATATTATTCTACCACAAAATCTGTTGGTATGAGAAAGGTTAATTGCCCATTTGGAAAATCTGCAGGATCAACCACATGCAGATGCCTTAAATGAATGTATGGATGGAATAGATACCTTTTTGAGAAGAATTCTTCATAAAATGCGCTTTCATTAATATTTTTCTTATTCAAATGATGTTTGAATTAATACTTTTAATACTTATGTAAATTTAAAAAAATATATTTATTGAATATAACACACCTTATGATAATAACTTAAAAAGGTTTTATTATTAAAGGGTAATTTTAATTATAAATAAATATATTCTAACTTTAATATTCAATTACAATAAATTTACATCATATCTAATATATTTTTATTAATTTTGCATCGATCAAAAATTTCCTTCAGAAAATTAAATAAGGGAAGGATCGTGTCGATCCCTTTTTTTCTGAAAAGATCGTGATCGGGATTCGATCTTTTTAAAAGATTAAAAAGCCTGAAATTACCTTTCACTCATTATTACTTAATAAATTATAAACCAAGCTATCGAAGATATAATTAAAGAATAGTAAGGTGAAAACATGATGCTACACAAGGAGATTACAATTAAAAATATATTTTATAATAAAAAAAATTTGGAGTCACCCACATTACTAATAGTAGAATTACTGCAGAATAAAAAGGATAGCACTAATTTATAAATGACTTTGCCATCATATAATTTCGCCAAGTATCTAATAGTATATTATATAGTTTTATTTAAAATAACATTTATAATAATATTCATTTCATATTCAATTGCTAAATTTTCAAATTTTTTTTTCTACATTAATGATTGATAATTAAATTAATATAAAAAATTATCTAAAATTTAAAAATAATGCTAAATTATATTTAAAAAAGAAAAAATAAAATAAAGTAAGAAAAATTTATAATCTAAATATTTTAATTTTTTGTCACACCGATTAGACATCGTCTAGAATCATATAAAAATTACACCAATCATCATAATAAATTACACAATAAAAAAGACATAGAAATTGTGAAAACTGCTAAAGAATTAACTCTAAAAATTTTAGCTAATAATTAAAATAAAAAATATGTAAGGAAAAATTTATTAACCATTTATTGTTAAAAATATGCATCTATTATTTATATTTGAACAAAAAAAATTTGTAAAAATGATGGAAAATAAATTTATTTTAAAATTTTATTTGATCTACTACTTGTCAATTTATTAGAACTACTAATTAAAAATATCTCGAAGATCCTTAAAAAAATTGATGAAATGAAAACTTCAAAAAATTGATAATTTAAAAAAGGTATTAAAGCTCTATAAGCACTATTCAGCAGATGACGGATTATATTTTTTTTCAAAAATATTATTGTTAATATTAATTAATATTTGTTAATATTTATTTAAATTTGTTAATATTTATTTAAATTTGTTAATATTTATTCCTATCTCATATATATATATATAATTACATTTATTTATCACATTCATCTACTAAGTTATTTTATCAATTAATTCGATTTCAAGTTTCCTTGGCGTAATATTTACCTATTATTTTCAAATATTAGTGGCGTAATATTTATCTAAATTTCTAGTCAAATAATAATTATCTCTGAAACTCCTTGTCTAAAAGGGAGAAAGAAATTGCAAGCTTGTCCAACGAGATCGAGTCTCCGCCAGCAAGCATACAGCTTTTATGGAGTTAGAAGAGCCGATTATTAATACTATTACTGAAATATTATAATGGTTTGAAAGAAATATCCTCAGAAGCAAGAAAATTATTATATTCAATATTTATTCTAATTTTTTTTTCTCATTAGAATGTATTATCTAATTATACAAATATTTTATTTAATACTTTTCAAAAACATGACATTGACTTGATTAAGATAAAAATAGCGGAGAGCAGCTAATGTTGATAAAATTTTATATGTTATTGTTGAGTCAAAAGCAGAGCTATACGTGTTTAATATTTGTCCCCCTCGACTTGCAGCTAGCGCTCATCGTCAAAGCATTAATATAGGATCCGTATAAGAGTTGCAGCACTTACCAATCTACAGAACTTGCACAAAAGCCTTCCCAACCTTTTTCGGATGGTGATAAAAAAAAAATATATATGTTAAATTTTTATCATAAAGATGTTAAAGTATCTTATGATGCCTTGTTAGCTAAATAACTATGATTAAAAAATTAACTATGGTCGATATAGTCCCAAAAAATGCTATGGATACTTTGCATTATTTTAAACACATTTAAGATTTTATTCTCAATCTATTAAAATGGTTATATATAATGAGAGAACATTCTCTTTTTTAAGAAGAATAACAGAGCCCTGCAGAGGTATCATTTGCAGGGCACAGGCCGAATTTTTTTTTTCAAAATTTTTTCGGCCCCCGGGTGATTTTTAAAAAAAAAAATTTCCGGCCCGGCTATTTTGAATTCAGGCCCGGCCCGAATTAAAAAAAAATTATATTTACCTTTGATTTTTATCTAATAATGGCGTTTTCAAATATTTGGTTTTAAAATATATAGACTGGCCCGGATATTATTCTTAAAAAATTTTCAGGCCCAGCCCGAATTTTTTTTTTAAAAAAATTTTGGGCCCGCTCGGGCATATTTAAAAAAATTAAATATGCTCCAGCCGGGAGGCCGAGCCTGCAAGTCTCTGAAAAACAAATTATGAAGTAAAACTTCTGAAAGTAGATTGAATGGTTTGGATCTTTTGAATATTCATAGGCATTTAACGCAAAGCAAGGATGTGATAATTGAAAAATTAGCTCAAAACATACAAAATACAGTTATTCCTAAGAAACTTTTTATATATTAATTTATATTTCAGCATTTAAATTTTTTATACTTTATATATAAATTTTAATGTCCAAAAATTCAAATTTCTATTTTGGGTCATTTAAGTGATTCATATGATGGTTATATTCACTTTATATTTTATAATTCACATTTATTTTTTAGTTTTCAATGCCGCCATTTAAATTCGTTTAATATTTTTTAATTCAATTTATTTCATAATTTTTTATAAGCCAGTTTATATATATATATAATTTTTTGTAATTCACATTAATTTAAAATTGTGTATTAAAGTTCTAATAAATTTATACTCAATGATATTTCTTAAAAAAAATTATTATCCCCCCCCCCAGTCCAAATTCCTGTGTACGCGCCAGGCACTACTTCAGATATTTAATCTCTTAAGACTAGAAATTTTATTAGAATGACTTGTCACTGGGTTATAAAATAATATTTTATTTACAAATTCAATTAAATATACTTAATAAGCTCCCAAAATATAGTTTAAAAAAACAATCTCGGACTCTTGCTTTACTAAATTTTTTGGGCCATGCATATGCTAAAATAGCAATTATGATGCAAAAGTTTAAAAAAAAAATACATTATATACTTTTTTTAATACATCTTAAATATATAATTTTAAAAAGTATCTGTATTTTGATACAGTTATCTGAAATTTACCCAAACTTGAAAGTGACAGTATAAATTATTTGGCAAGAAAGTAGAGGGGGAATATTTTGTACTCGCCTAAAATGATATCTACTAAATTAGACAAATATCTGCAGGATTGTTTTGCTACGCTTATGATTTGTTTTTATATGTAAAAAAATATAATTTTAGATAATCAATCAAGTGACATCATTCTTCATTCAAATATCAATCAAATGTTATTAATTAATTTTATACATTCGTCAATTTTATATGAATTCAAAATATTTTAAGCTTAATGAGATAGATGGTGTTTGGACTTTTTTAAAATCAGTTAATATGCAAGATATAACTAATTATATTATATATATAATTATATAGGTAGATTGGTCAGAAAAATGGCTACAAGGATTAATTTGTTTTCATTTGGGTTGTTTAATTTTAACTTATAGCCTGTGCAAATATCATAATATTCAAGCCATCTATTTTGCCATATTATGTAAACTACGTTAACATTAGATTTACAAAAAATTTTATTAGTAAGTATTGTATATTTTGCTGAAAATATTAATAAATATGGAGCAATATATTGGAAGTAAATTTCATCTTAAATCCAAATAATTTAAAATTTTATTTTAGAAATTTTTCTAATCATCAATATTTTGATAGTAATGGTGTTTTTATTTCATTGGTTCTATCAGCTCCAATATTGATAAATTGTTTATTGATTATAGTAAAATTTGAATATATAATTTTATGAATATAATATATTATAGTGTAATTGGTTGTGGAATGCTTCCTTATTATTAAATAATATTAGAAATAATAGATCTAAATTAATATCAAAGCAGTTAAAAAAAGAAAATGATATGGCAAAAGACAAAAAATTATCATAAAGTTTATTTGATAAATATTTATATTTTAAAACTATTATATAAAGTTTACCAATATCTATAGTTTATAAATTAAAGTATATACCTGCTTATATTCAATAAAATGTGTATAATAAATGTAACTACAATAAAATTATTTAAATTCTTCTTTAATATGACTAAATTTGAGAAATTATATTTTATTGTTAAACAACAATAAGTATTCATTTATAATGTGTATTAGTGCATAAACAATCATTGCATTAATATAAGTTTATCATATGTTTGTTATGTTCTTAGAATCCAAAAGTATAGTTACAGGTCCATCATTGACAATATTGACTTGGCAATAAGCACCAAATACACCTTCTAATAAAAAATAAATTAATGTATGATACTTTTTGAAACCTTTAATTTTTTCTGCAGAATATAAGTTCCTTAATTTATTAAGAAGATATTGATATAACTCTTTTGATAAATCAGCAGCCATTGATTTGTGAAAATCAGGTTTTCTACCCTTTAATGTAGCATGCAGGGTGAACTTAATTTTAAAAAAATTATAAAATTTTACATTATAAATACACTTGACTGAGAGATAAAATCTCATACTCATTTTCAACTACGTTTTTGGCCCATCTTTTTTGGAACTCATCTTCGAAAAGCTTTATATCTAGCACCTTTTTAGCACTATATTTGACATATTAATTATAAATGTTAAAAATTACATCATGTCTGCATCCTTTTCTGTGTCATCAGTAGTTATTCCAATTAATAAGCACAATCCTTTGCTTATTGAATTTATTAATTTACCATCGACTATACAAGTCTTGGATTTAATAAATTAAATTATATACCTAATACACTTGCACTTGAAACACGCTGAATAACGATTTTCATATAGAAACGTGGGATTTATTTCCTGTAAAAGTGCTAAACATTACCTGGTTGATTTATAGTCTTTCACATAAATACGATTTGATAAACATATATAATGCCTAGCACAAAACCATCCAAAATGACCGAAGGCGTATTAGTTGAACGGTTGGGGGTATCAAGCTTTGAAAAATTTTATTCAGGATAAATAGGTCATTTTGAAAATGCAGTTAGAAAAGAAATATCATTTTATAAATGTTAGCTAAAAAAGAAGATAATTTTGAAAATTCTAGCTAAAAAAGAGTAATTTTTTTGAGGTTCCTGAGATTGTAAAGAATAATGACGCTCTTGATAGGCTAATGCTATTATTATAATCTTGTTTTTAAAAGAAACGTATATTAAAATTAAAAAAAACCTCTAAAAAATAGAAATGAGATTGATTGAGATCAAGAATTTTTAAATATTGGATCGAAGTTGTGACAGCAATATTTTATTAAAGTTTATAATGAAGAGATGTTTTTTTCTTATGGATTTCGAAACCGTTTAGAAAAAATTTAAAGCGGCTTGCCCAAGAGAGCAGGATAATACAGCTACGATGGGGACAAAGTTGCTATCACCCATCAGATAGGAATATCTTTGTTAATGACTTAACCTTAAGAAGTGTATCTAGTTTATTATTAGAAGGAGCAAGGGGGTCCATGCAAGTAAAATCCCATGTCAAGGGTTCATTAAAAACACCCTTATGGCAAAAATAGTCCTCTTTATATCAGGGGCGATTTGCCTTTTGTAACAAGTGCATTTGTTTAAAAATGGAATGCGGAAACTTATTAGTTATTTCAGAAAAGATGTGCCCTCTATTAGTTGATTAATATATTGATAGGAATTAAACAATTCACGAGTTGTAAACTTTAGCGTCCGAGGAGAGATTTGTATAGGTGAATATCTTAAGTTGAGGTAAGCGAAGGAACGAGATATCAATCTTAAATCCAATATTTTTATTTTAATGAATCTGGGTGAGGTGTATTTATGATGTTCCACTAATTTTAGGCTTCTTCCATCAAACTGTCCATATAAATTTAAATGATTTATTTAACGGATTTTGTAGAAGATATGAAAGAACAAGGCAATACTTATTACAAGGAGTTGCCTAGATTTTTGTTTTATTTAGCTTTTTGAATTATTATTATATACTTTCTATTAATTATGTTTTTTAAATTCAAATTTAAAGATATATCTATAAGTTTTTGAATGATAAACTTCTTTAGTATGAATAAATTATGCCATAGACGCTTAAGTTCGATACAATGGTTCACATTCATAGACACCTACATATCACAAGTTGAGTAATTTTTATATTTGAATACAGAAGTAAAAATAAAACTCTATCAGTTCCAAAGGCAATTAAAATTTCACAGAATAATTAGTTAGAAAATATTACTAGGTGAGAACAAATCGTATTAATTAAACAACCAATGTATACCGAAATTTCAATTTAATAATAAATCATTCGGTCCAATTTTTGCAATTTAAATACAAGTTATTGTAGTAATGTAAAATGCATACATATATAGTTATTATTAATATTATAATATATGTATGAATATATCGTATTATATATATATTATGTATGAATTAGTATATTCGTTTAATTAGACATATTTTATAATGATCATATATATTTATGTTCAATATTGGATGAATGTTAACTACCTAATACCCATAGCATCTATTATAATGTCTCGTTATTATATATTTTTATATCCTGCCTTTTATTTGTATGTTAATTTCTTATACAGTCATGGATGTAAATGTAAATATGAATGTATCTAATTTATTAGTTATAATTTCAACTACACATATTATGCACTATTACAACTAAATAACATATTAAATTCAACGGCTAGCAGCATATAATATATTTAAAGACTTGAATGAATTTAAACAATGCTTCTTTCTTTTGTAAATGAACGTCGAACACGAAAGTATTCGATTTTTGCAAAATGAACGACGAAAGAATTTTTTATAAGCAGGGTATCGAACCGTTAAGCATAACGGTTCGGTTTGTTCCTGTTTTTAGTTTAAAATTTTATAAAGGTTTTGTTCCATTTCGGTTTTTTAAAAAAAAATTCATATCGGTTCAGTTCGGTTTATAATTTATAACGGTTCATTTCGGTTTTTATAAATTTGATTTTTAAAAAAATTAATCATTAACCATGTATATATTAATTTTAGAGAAAAATCTTTTCAATTTATAATTTCTTATTAAATTTAACCATGATAATCCAATAGATATTTATATTTAACTTAGTAAATATAAATTAGACAAATTATTTTTTTTTATTTCATAAATAAATAAGATAAAAACAAACATGCGTAAATACAATGATGAATAAAATAACACATAAATATAATAAAAGTGTTCAAAAAGAGAATTAGAACGGATGACAAAAATATTTTCTAATATTTCAGGATTTAATTTAGTTCTCTGCGCAGAGAGTATAAACTTAAGGCTAGAAAATGCTCTTTCTACGGATACCTGTATAGCTGGAACTGCTAGCACATTTATAGCTAACTTATAAAGTTCTGGCATAATATTCTTTACATTTTCCCAATAATTCAAAAGATTAGTATCTTTTTCTAATCTCGCTATATTATCAAATGACCGAATTATATATTCTATTTCTAAACATTTATTATAATTTTCTATGCCCTGAGAATTATTCTTATTAAGACTTTTATGCGACTTTAATAAATCTTCAAAATCATCATCTAAATTATCTTTCGAATGCGAACACGTAGGCATAGTATTTAGAATTTCAATAAATGAATATTAGAATTCTAAATTTAAAAAAACAATATGATTATAGATAAAAAATTATCATATAATTAAAATATTGCTAACCATTTTATTTATTGTCATTTAAATTCTATGATCCAAGTTTTTATACTGAGATAAAAAATAAACCATATAATATAAAAATGAATGTAAAAAGTACTAGATTTCTATTAGATGTTAGTTATTAATAGTAGATTTATTTAATTTTTTCCTAAATTATTAGCAAGTATTATTATAAAAGCTTATTAATAATTTATATATATAAACTTATTAATTTAGCCAAGAATAATTATGTGTGATTTTAAGATATCTTATCTAATTAACAGATAATTAGCCTAATCTCTAATAAAATAAGTATTTAAAGAAAAAAACAATAAACTTGGTATTAATTGATATATAATGTTGATAATATATATAAATTTAATTTGAAAAGAAATCACCAATTTAAAAAATTCCCCTAAGGAAAATTAAAATTTCAAATTTAGGTTAATAATTTAAAATTAATTATTTTTTAAAACCGTTTTGAACCGGTTCAAAATATTTATAACGGTTCGGTTAGCTCTTTTTATATTTGCTTTATAACGGTTCGGTTAATGTTCATAAAATCATAAAGGTTCATTCCGGTTTGGCGGTTCGGTTCAAAACCCTGTTTATAAGTCATCAGTGAAAAAATTAATTGGGAACAAACTTTTCGATATTTTATAAATGCACATTTTCCAGTAATAAAATTATAAGTTAAACTGCCAAATACGAAATATAAATAAGATATGTAAGATGTAATAATACCCCCTTCCAAATCGTTTCTAATATAAGATTTTAAACTGAGGAAGTGAAATTATTAAACTTGCTGATTTCATTTTTTTTTCATAAAAATATTTTAATTTTTCTATTTTTAAAATCGGTAAAAAAAATCTTAATAACAATCCTTGTTCAGAGTAGACTTTAACCTGTGTCCTAAACAGCTTTTAACTTACTTTATTTTGGTTTCTTTTAAGTATTTTGTGATATTGTTATTTTTACATTTTTCGTTTCTACTTGTTTTTTTTTATAAAAATTCTTTTGCCTTTATTAGCTGTTGTCGAAGCTAAATAGCCAGCTAAGAGCTGCAAATAAATATTCATTTAATTATATTTAAAAAAATGCTTATTATAATTGATATGATAAGCGGATAATTTTTTTCATATGAATTTTTTATAATTCTCTTGAACAAATATAAATTTTAAAAAAATGAGATGATATCAATTATTCATTATCTATATAGTCAGAAACATCTTTCGATAGTGTGTCAATAGACCATGCCTCGTCCTTTTCCTGGCAATATTTCTCAGGTAGCATTTGGCCTAATAGAATTTGAAGTCTTTCGCCGAATTCGTCTATCAGATCTTTATAGATCACGTCGGGTATATTAGTGATTTTAGTTTTGACGTCCATCACTCATAATTCTATTTCATATAACTAAATAATTTTTATATGTAAAAAGATAGTGTTGCTTTAATTACTTTTGAAAATACCTTAATGTACTAGAAACATTTAACAAACGTAGAAAAATATATAAGGTTATTCATTATTAGTTTTATTAGTTACAAGTTTGCACATTAAAAAAAAATACTAACAGAGTAGAATATATTATCGCATGAGAATTAGAATATTCCATCTCCATTATTTGTAATTTGTAGGAGAGTAATTTTAAAAATTACGTTTCTATTGTTTTTAATATGATGGCTAACCTTATATTGGCTATAATTTAAGTTATTTTATAATATTTAGGATTTTATTTTCTCCTCAAGTAAAAAAAATCAATTTTGACAAAAAGTAGATATGGAATAATCAAATTCACCAGCGAAAATACTTAAAATTTATTTCAAAAAAAAATTATCTAAAGCTATTTGAACAAATATAGAAAAATATTTTTTTTATCTGATACATTTTCTTGTTTTGTTGCTATTAAAGCTCTTGCATAGTATACCTACAAAAATACGAATCGAATCCAATCGAATAATTGCATTTTATCCGATTCGATTCGTCGAATATTCGATTCAATTGAAAATTTTATTTAACCATAAATTAAAAAAGACAGAATATTAAATTTATTTTGTAAAATTTAACTATGGATAAAAGACAAACAAATTTTATTAGTAAGATAATATAGAAGCATATATATATACACATATAGTATTTTTATATATAATGTAGTAA